TAATGGCCTTGTGAAATATTAAATCATGGCAGCAAGAAAGACAGCTTTGGCGGTGTGGGAGCAGGCGGTATGGGTTTTAATGAACTCTCTCTCCAACCAAGCGCGGCAGTCGTTTCTCTTCTGTGCCAATTGACGCCAATTGGAAATTCCAACGACTTAACTAAGCCAGCATAGGCGCTGTATCATTCTGCCGCGGATTCAGAGGCTGACTTTATTATTGTTGTTAATGCTGGTTCCCAAATAAACGAAATTCTCTACTTTTTCGAAATTATAACTGTTCTGCATATCTTATGATATTCTCCAACATCAGATTAAAGAAATCACGCGAAACCTCGTTTCATATCAAACGACTCGGAGAAGCAATATACAAAAACAAAATATTTTCGCTTCTGGTTAAGTTGGCGTGTGTTGAGTAATCATTGACGATTTCTTACGTAAGTTTAGACTAACTGAGCCTTAAGGTGTAAAACAAGAGCGCGTAGATATGTATGTAAGTTAAAAGAAACAAACACGCATTTTATATAAGAACATACATTTTAATTTTATTTTGACAATCCATTTATCTTTTTTAAAGAATTAAAATACAACAATAAACATATTTAGTTAATATTAAACAATATAATAATGAGTACATCACCTATTCAGTTATAATATCTTTTTAAAATTACAATCAATCCAGTTTATTGCAGATAGATTTCTATGAGGATGCCTTGGCATTGTCTTCAATTTTGAGTCGTTTTCACTTTTTACTATGCCATGCCATTGCTTTTGTAATTTCTTTGAATTGTTTTGTGTTTGCATTGCTTATAGTTTAGCTTTAAATTTCAACTAGAAAATACATGTAAATACGAGTTTCTTTAAGGTTAAATAGCTTGAAAATTTGCATAATAAAAATATGTTTGTTCCCCACCAAATACATTATAAATCCCTTTTACATTTAGCACAACACGTTATCTAAACATTTTCAAAATGGTAAATTTTTCTAAATTAATCGCTTATAATACTTTATTTCAACACAGTTAAAGTTCTCTCAGATAATATAATTTGTATGTGTGTATACATATAGTATAGCAAATGTACAATAATAACAAGGATATGTATGAGTACTATAGATTTACTACAATAGTTGAAAATTTAAACCACCCTAATTGTTAGTAAATTAATATTGCAAAGTGTATTAACATAAATCACAATAAATATTCAATAACACCTGAATACTGGTTTGGTCACTTAGATAAAAAATAAGCGTGTAAAACAATTTATGGAAAAATTATATGATTGTAATGAAAAGCTATTGCTTAACATACATACATGCATAGCTGAAAAACGGATTTTCACTTGTAAGCGTTAGAAAAAAAGTATGTGGTCGCTCTTAAAACAGATATGTATATAGGTACCAACATCGAGTATCAATTAAAACTAGAAATTTTTGTAAATTGTTTTTTGTTTTTACGACTCACGGATGTTAGTTTAAAATACCACCATAGATAAGCGATACTCATTTACTCCATTGATTTTTTCTAATCCTGAAAGTCAATCCCAGTTGCTTGTTTCTAATGTCACTTCAGCAGCAAACGCTATTTACATATATGTTCGCCGCAGTCATCGTCACATGTAAGAGGGCGACGATTTGCGGGACCTAGAACGTGGCTTTGAAGGACTCTTCAGACTGTGACGTGAACCGCTTCGTGACTTAAAACCATCGGCCCAAGGTTCAGAAACGCGTCCATACCAATGCACCAAATCCATCACTTCTA